ATCATAATTAAATTAAAGAGTTCTTTTTGTTTTGTTTTGTTCAAAAAATAATAAATTTTCTTGATAACAAATTTTGATTATTTTGCTTGAATGAATAATTCAGATCTGTTTATAATGCAAGACAAAATGCAATCGTTAGTTACTTTGAAAAAATGTTCGCACATATACAATAATAATAATAATTCGTATTACTTTGATTATAACTTGAAATAATTTCTTTATCATACAGTACAGTAATTTCCGTACCTATCAAGCGACTCTCTAGTAGCTATTTAGGTCAATTTACCTTCCATTTATGAGATATAGCCATCTAAATGTGCGCGACGGATTATGGAGTGACTTTACCGCGCGAATCCCCGCTCCAGACGCCTTTTTCGGTCGTTAAAAGAAACGAAAGTGACGGGCCATTATCCCGTTTCCCCACAAAAACGATCCGCTTTCGTCCCCAGCTACGAGCCGCGGCCCTCGCCGGTCATTTATCTCGATAATGACAGTTCGGAACAATTTCTATATTAGAGGGCCTCATTAGAACGCCGCGCCAGCTTGTAATTTACCTCGTCGACATTTTTATGTTCGCAAATGCGTGAATTAAAACGCGATGGCAAGCATGTTCCTACACTCGTCGCGCCTTAGTAACACTCAAGCCTTTGCTTAATCGTGTAATATTTTTTTTAAAAAGAGAAGATTCTGAATGTTGGCAGATGTGTCTTTGAACAGATATAAAACAGCGAAACAATTGTCACAGCAGTAGCTTCTGCTATAATTAAAAAAAAAATAATTTTGATGAAGTATATATCTAAAAAATTTAGCAAAAATATAGATCTGCAAATAATTTTGTAAAACGATCAAACTGATTGCTACAATATCAAAACTTTTTGCAGCATTATTCATTATATTTGAATTTCTCACATAATTATTTTGATGGTCCATCAAAAAATCGCTATGAATTATGCGCGGAATTACAAATAAAAATTTATTAAATTTGCAATATTAAAGAAAGACTTATGATGCCAAATCTATATACAAAAATATAATTTCGCTGAGTATTTAAAAATTTAGGTAGATACATTGAGAGAAAAAAGTTTGGTATTTGTGTAACAAGCTATAATTGCATGTTAAAATAAAATAAAATAATTGATATAGTACCTGTTATAATTTATATTAATGTAATAAAGTTAATTTATACACTGAGAAAAAAATTGTCTAAATAAATTAACTTGATTAAATGCGTTCGTAATGATTATTTAGTTCAAATATTTATATATCTATAAATATTTATAGATCAAAATCTTGTAATTTAAAACGTGTTATTTGAATTAACAAATATTATAATAAGTTGAATTAACAAATATTAAGTTGAATTAATAAATATTTGCTTGACAGTCCGTAACCGCTACATTTAGTTGAATCAACTAATATTTTTTTGAAACAGCAACTTTTGTTTCTCAGTGCATTAGTTTATATTAATGTAATAAAGTTTCTTCAATAATAACTAAAACAAGTAAAAATCTAATTAAATTGTACTCAAACGTATCACATCACAATTGTTACATAATTATTTTATCGTCCGTACTCGCAGTAATTATTACGCAGCAGCGCTTCAACAAGATATTATCGGCGTAATATTAGCTGTATTAAAATTTGTGATAACATCGAACGGGATAGGGGCTTTATACAATTCACGTTGACAATTGTCAGCTTACAGGTAATCATAGTCCACGTTTCGACGTGCGTCATCGGCGCTTCCGGAATTAATACTTAAACGCGAGAAGACGTCAAGCGGAAAACTTTCCGCGCAATTCACGTCGAGGAGGTTGTCGCTGTATTTTATTTCTCAGCACTAAAAAACATCTCGTACATTTCTCAAGAGCTTCGCTGACAACTATTATAAGCCTCTGAAAAATTCATTATCGTTATTGATTTCGACAGTACATAAAAAAATATTATATGCTATAATTCCAAAATATATTCTCTTTTCTCAGCTAAATGGAAAAAAGTTTAGAAAAAATCTTTCTTTATTTCAGAACAGATTATTTACATTATTATGAATAATAAATTAATCATTAACATTATAAGTTAATTATTTACATTATTTATGAATAACAAGTTATTTTATGTTACCTAATAATAATGTAAATATTCGTGAATTTTAATGATGTTAAAGTACTTAAACTTTGCACACAGTTTTTGCCGTTTCCTACGTTTCATATATATCTTGCAATTGCATCGTCGTCACTCATTCGCGTGAGGATCGTTCCAAAAGAATTGGAATATCACCAATACGCGATAAATGTTAAAATGATCGAAAATTAATTGGCAAGTTTTTAACGGAGCAATAAAAATAATGAGCCATGACGACGGACAGATAGGTCGGGGATATAACGCAAAAATCGCGCAATAGACTGGCCGCTCCATTTTCGTCGGAAATGGCCGCATTAAACGTTATGGATGGCCGTACCGAAAGGGGTGAGCGATTTTTCTTCGAGTTAATGCACCACAGTAAGAGAGGTGCGCCGCGTGAAGAGAGTTATGACTCGAACAATATCATACCGGAGCAGCGACGATGCGCGATAACAATAAACGTAATAGCGTAAGGAAGCTGGCCGTTAATGAACAACGATCTCGACAATCTTAAATATGTCACAAGAATTCAAGTATTAGTAATAAGTGTTTTAGATCGAAGAGTTCGTAAATCGTCGTGTCAATAAATGACATTCCAATTAAATATAAATTTTATTTATGTTCAATTTAAAAACATCATGTTATATCATGTTATAAAATGTTCTGTTATCATAATATTCTGTTATCATAATGCGTTAAATAAATACATGAAATATCACGGAACAAATTGTAAAATCAGAATAGTGAATAAAAGTGAAATATCGAAAATTAAGATATATTAATCGGTTTTGGTAAATTTACTTTTGAGAAAATCCAGTTTTTACTTTTGTCGAGCGCGCGCGTATTTTTCTTTAAAATATTCTCTAACAATAAATTAATTAAAGTTAAAATTGCGACATTAATTGTACTGACACAGAGGAGTAATCGCGCGTTGATATACTGACGTGAAATGTCAATTACGCGATTGTCTAACGACTCTCCGCGAGCCAAGAAAACGACACGAATTTATATCAAATTTTCCGTGAAATAAATGTGATCGAATTTAGAGTTAATATTACTGAAATATAACCTGCAAGATCATATTTAACACTTAGAATCCTCGGAGCAAATTGCAGTTTTGCAATGGATGAAAAGATTTGACTTATTATTTTAATGGATATCATTGATCAAAATTAAATTAGTAATTTAACTTAAAAATGTAGTATGTAGATGCCAACTGAAATTATAAGATATGTAATTTAGTTGCAAAAAATTATTTATGTCTTATCTTCTTTATTTCTTAATGTTCGTGGCCAATAATTATTATACTTATTCTCACAAAAATAACGATGTTAAAATATCTAAAAATTTAGCTAGATACAGATCTAAAAATAATTTTGGACCATCAAAATAATTACGTGGAAAAGTCAAGCATAATGAACATGTTGCAAAAAGTTTTGATATTCTAGCAACCAATTTAAGCGTGCTACATAATTATTTTGATGGTCCAGCAAAATTATTTTCAGATCTGTATTTAGTTAAATTTTTAAATACTTCAACAATTAAAATCGTTCTGTTCTTATTAAAATCCATTAGATTTCTCATTGTGTAATTAAGAGAAAAAATGTTACTCTTACTGGATTAATACAAAAGTTAACAATGAAATGTGAAATATTCAGCACGTGACATGTAACACACGACTCATCATTTATTTAAACAAAAGGAAGTATTTAATGATTCACGTAACAATAACGATGCAACACACGATACGTTGCATCGAGGCTTTCGAAACTAATTAATTTTTATCGGTAAAGTACGCGTAATTATGACGCTCGTAAAGTTTACACGGATGTTACAAACTATACGATCGATTGCGGAAGGATTTCATGAAGATTTCAGAAAGTAAATCTATAGTAATATGCAACAATGGTTTGCGTTTTTATGAAGAAACTATGCTCACACGATAAATCATAATAATGTTGGTTTAAAATAAAAATGCGTAAAGATATATATTATGTTTTATAAGTTTCATACAGTTTCAACAAAAATCATATAAAAGAATTCTTTAAAAAGTTAAATATATTTATAAAAAATTGTTAGCAAGGTATGCAATTTATTAATTTAATTTAGACTTATCAATCAAAGTAATGTTAATTGGAGAGAGAGAGAGAAACAAAATATATATACGTACATGAAGTACATTAGAAAATACAGATATTACAATAAGAAAATATAATATAAAAAAACCATTCAACGGATGACAATCTATAAAATTGCCACAAATTCCTCGTCCTAAAATTTCATAACTCTTCTCTGATTTCCAAATAAAATGTCATGATTTTCTTTGAATTTGAATTGTTTTGTATTTTCTTGATCTAGAAATCATTAAATATTTTATTGAGAAAATAATTTAATATGACAATGTAAATTACTATTAATTGCTGACACTGCTTGCATTTAATTATTAAGTTGGTAGCATTTCAAAACTACATAGGTGCAATAATTTGCGCATATTAAACTTCTTTAAAACCAAGAAAAATTTTAATTCGCCAAAAAATTCCTTGATTTTTCCCTGATTTTTCCATTATCAATTTCCCTCAATTGATTTTTTACTTTGATAAAGAAAATTTAAGAAAACTATTTAAAATGTTTACTTTAAACGGACGTCTCACTAACAAAGGCAATAGTGTTATTTTAGCTTTAGTTATAATCTTCCTATATTCTATATCTCTCTTAACAATGCGCTTTTTAACGATAAACCACCTTTCAATTCTTCGAGTAATTTTATTTTACTACTGGTGTCTTTCACATTTTTTACAAAACACTTCAATTCGTCACATTAAGAAGGTCCAGTTGAAGTTTAATCCCAAAGACCATTCATTGAATGTGAAAAGACTCACCGTGTTGATGCAACTTTCCGCCTCCGACGGCCTGCTGTTGCGAATGTTTATGATGGTGTGGTTGTTGCGGTTGCTGCTGCGGCTGTTGCTGTTGCTGCTGCTGCTGCTGCTGCTGTTGCTGTTGCTGCTGTTGCTGCTGCTGCTGTTGACGCGAGTCCCGCGCCATGATCGCAGCGATGCTGAAGTCGGTTGCGCATTGACGATTTGAATTACAATTATTATTGAGATTATTCAGGAGACTGCTGTTCGGCGACGGGCTCGAGCTCTCGTCGCCGTCATCGCCGGCGCACCCGGATAGCCCGGTAGATACCGCGGAGGTGGCGGTGCCCTCGCCCTGCATCTTCCTACCCAGGTAGAGGTGATGTCGAGATTCCTCGTCGTCCTCCTCGCTGCCGGCTCCTCCGGCACCACCGCCACCTCCGCCGCCTCCGCCACCACCGCCGCCACCGTCGCCGAACGAGGTCAGTGTCAGTCCGTTTCTCTTCCTACCAGCGAGACCTCGCGACTCCAGCAACATCACCTCGCGCGCTGCTTCCTGAGCCACGTGGGGTCTACCGACAAACTAGTCAGAGAGCGTCTCAGGGCGGATCCGTTTGACGCCGTGACGCTACGGGCGTCGTGCGTCAAAACGATATCGATCTTGATAATTGCTGTCCGGAAGACCGTATGTGCTTCTATCCTCGATACGCGAATACCGCTGAAGCGGCATCAGCATCCTCTCCTACAATCGTGCAAATCAACTCCGAGTCCTCGCTGTCGACATACGCGCGTATATCGCGTGCAAGGAGATGACGGAGCACGTGTGTGTGTGAAGGAACGAAAAACCTACGAATGGAATCGGGCATGGAGTGGTCGGTTACGATCGCTGCGTTCGTTGCATGGTCAGTGGAGTACGGTACAACGTTGTAACTGATCAGAGTCCTTATTGGAGCAGCGATAAAAATCGGAGCACAACACTAGAACTACGCCAAATAGCTAGCCTTGACGTTTAGCGATCGGCGATCGGTAGTGAATGTGATCCAAAAGTAAATGACGCCGGCCAAATGTTGGCCGGAGTAGCACTCCATTAACAGCATGGGGACGCGAGGAAAAGTTACGTCGACGCAAAGACACCAATTCGCTTCTCTTTCGCACGCGCGAAAAAGCGGAGCTGCTTGATGTATCGTTTACACTCCCAGACCGAGCGAGCGAAACGAGCAGGGAACGACAGACCGACCGGTTGCCCGACAGACTGACCCGCGCCACTGCCGGTCGCCTCTTCGTTCCGACCCCCATCCCCGCCAATACGATTGAGCTCGGTCGGACGAGCTAAAGGGACGGTACAACATGAGCGGGAATGAGAGAAGAAAATACCCAGCGGGTGTTCAATGGGCGGTTCCTTGGCACGCTCCTCCTCCACGATCAGCACCCGGCTCCGCCTGCAGGCTCTCTCCCGTGCGAAGCCCACCTCGAGGTTCGCTTAAACGTTATTACCGCGTCGTTCTTCCTCTCGTTTCTACTCGTCCCTCTCTTTCTCTCGCGCCCATGTCAAACTGAAACTGCCAACCGGGAGCCGACGATACAAACACGCACGAGCGTCCACAGGAGGAGTCTCTCTCACTCTCTCTCTCCCCCCACCCCCCTCTCTCTCTCTTTCTCTCTCGATCAGCCGGTGGTGGTCGTCGCCACCGTCGTCCTCGTCCTCGTCGTCGTCTTCGTCATCATCGTAGTCGTCATCATAGTCGTCGCTGCTCACCCAGGTCGTCTCTCCTCGTCCTACGTCGCTTTTTTCCACACTGTCTGTCTCGTCCCACTCTTCCCTTCCTCCCTCACTCTTTCTCTCTTTCTCGCGTCCTTGTCCCTTCTTCCTCATGCTTCTTCCTTTCACCCTCTCCTCTTCCCGCCCCTTCCAAACGTAGCAACCCACCCCACCCGTCGCCCTCTCGCTGCACGCTCGACGTCCACACGTACAGAACGAGGTAGGGTGGCGGTATTATGGTCTCGTACGCGCCATCCAGCCACGGCAGCTGCCATTTTTTCTTACGAGAGGGGGGCAATTGCTGACAGGGACCGCTTTCCTCCGCGCTAGTACGCCGCGACTCTCGCCTCTCTTTTACCGCTCTCTCGAGCGCAATTTATTGTTTTACTGGCGGAGCTTTAAACACGACCGAACGACGGTGGCGGCGGCTTCAGCGTCAGCGTCAGCGGCGACCGCGGCTAACGCAGGTGGGTGGTTAGCTCGCTGCTGGCTGGCTGGCTGGCTGGGCGGTGGATAGGTGGGTGGGTGGCAGTTGCTCTGGTGGCTCGTCTCGGCTGGGCTCGTCGAATGGGGGCGTGGGAGTATATCGTCGTATACTTCTCTGGGAAATCCCGTCAACGTCTACTACCGCGACTATGCTACACTTCGACGATTGCGCGCACTTATTATTTCTCATTCTGCTCTCCTGATGAGTATTCTCTATCTTTCGAATCTCGTTCGATTTGATCTGTTTTTCAACATTTGCGGATATCATCACGAAAGTGCGTTACACAATCTCACGATAATTAGAGCGATCGATTTCTATCGATCGCTCTTTGTCTTCTTAAAATAGTATGAATTTTTTAAACACAAGTTAGATTATTCATAATGTATAGTCTCGTGCAGAATATTTTTACATACCTTGCATTTATACCTTCGTCTATTTTTATAATCTTTTATAAGAAAAACTTTACCATTTTTATAATCTTCATCAAAGTATTTATATATTTGTAATATTTTAATGAATTGTAAAAAAAGACGGGATAAAAGTATTGTTAGGAATAATTATATTATAATAAAATTTAAAAAAAAATCTTATTCTTCATTATTAAAAAAAATATGTAAATGTTAATGTTATTAACTGATTTTAGCATAATGCTATCTGTAAATGCGTTAAGCTCGATTTAGGTTGAAAATCCTAAAAATTCGCTCAAGCATTCATTCTTAATTCATCAGAATCTCTTCACTATTTCGCGAATACCGTTATTTTTATTTCTTAATATCCACTTTAAAAAATATGAATATGCATTTAACACCAGTGGTGTTAAATATAATTCTCCTTGTGTTGCTGCAGAACACCAACATGGCATAAATTTAATTATCACGTGTTTCAAATCATAATATTAAAAATTCATATCAGGTATTTCTATTAACACCAACACGGTGAAAATTATATAAACAAATGTTAAATCCATCCCTATATTTTTCAATGTGTCGTTATTCTTCGTTATCTTTTAAGAACTGAAAAGTGAAGTACGAGAAGTATATAAGATCCTGGAATTAAGATCTTCGCTAATCATTAAACCGCATCGATCATAATCCAGTAGGATCATGGAGAGTTTCGCATCTCCGTTTATATCCACGGAGGACCCTCGAAATCTCCTTTTATCCCTTCCCTTCACGATTCGGCGCGCTATTAACGTCGTTATTGCCATTTGTCGAGGAACCGAGAAGTACGCGTGCGCCAGCAGCTGCAATACCGAACTGCTTTTTCCGCTGGGCGATTCTCCGACAGAAGTATTACGGTAGAAATAACGTTATCCTCGGCCGGAACGAGCGCCGAAGATGAATGGGGGTTGGAGCCCGCTTACCCTGCATCGCCGGCACTTTTCCTCTCCCCTTCGCCCTCCCTGCACCATCGGGATATTATTTCGTCGAATATCTCGCGAGTCGTTTCGAACGCAGCATTTCGCTGCAGATAAGTCTTGGCTTTAACCAGTTCGGATACCCGTAAAAAACCTCGAAATCGTTAAATCTCGCGCACGAAGCAACACAGTTATATCTTTCTATTACGATTAAATTGTCAATTATAATTGAATTTCGGAGATAGTAGAGGAACAGATATGTATAATGTATAAAATTTTTGTAAGATGTGTAATGCAACGATAATCTTTTGTAACTAATTTTTTAATAGAACCGTTGGAAAAAATAAAAGTTACCAATAAAAAAAGTTTACTACATTTTTTACTTTAACAAATTCAAGTTTCAAGTTGCAAAATTGCAACGCAAAATAATAATTATTATAAAGAGATCAACATAAAACGAATGATTAGGTCAAAATTTAAAACTAATTTAAACATCAAGGGAGTAAAATTTAAAACTAGTCTTTCGCTAATGTAAAGAGTATGGAACATTTCGACTTGAATCATTTTTTATTTTCGCCATTAAATTATAAATATACGATAGAGAATTAAAAGATTAAAAATATAATGAAATAAGTCAAAAACAAAATAATATAAAAAAGTCGTAATAAATAAAACGTTAAAATAATTCATAATTATAATAAAAAAATCAATTAAAAAATCACATCAAAAGTGAGGACCACTATTATCAAATTAATACATTAAGGAGTGTATTCAAACGTACATTCTTCGTTATGAGTCATTACAAAGGTCCATTGAAGCAAAATTATTTCTTCATTCGATGGCAAAAAAAAGTAAAGTCAAGAGATTAAATATTTTTTTTTACTTTAATTCTCGTACGAAATCTCATGAAGCACGCGTGCCATGTTTTCCCGAACGCTGCAAATCTTCAAATTATTGGTTACAATTAAACGAATTGATGCAGTCGGTAATCTTTCTCGCGGTCAAGCGCGGCGGTGCGAAAACGCAAAATTACCACTGCAACTACGCAAAATAATTAACGTCGCGCTAAGGCGGTACGAGGCGGTTAACGAAGAGAAGCGGCGTGCTCGAAAATAAGAAGGTATTCGGCGCGCAGGCGGAGGCATATTACCCCGGATATTATTATAATAAAGCAGGAAATTACCTCGTGTGATAAATGCGCGGGTAGCGATGCGGCCTCGTAAATTATATCATCAGCGGATTATCGTAATTACACAGCGCGGCGTATCGCAAGTGAAACAACGCGCAATGCCGTTGTGTTGTTGCTGCCGCTGCGGGGGAGAGGGGCAGAAAAAGAGAGAGAAAGAGGTCTGAAAATCTCGCGATTCGCGCGGTGCGTTCTGCTATTATCCCGCGGGTGGTAAACGTAATCGTTCGCGCACAAATTGCGAGCCGTGCGAAACAGTTAATCGAGGCGTGACGCGATTCGGCGGCCCGATACATTTATGCGCGATCGGATATCGATCCTGCTTTTATCTCAGCGACCGGAAGCGGCCGACGCGCCCTCGGTTATCATGTTATCGGTCCCGACTTTCGACGAGACTGCGCTCAATTCGTGTGCGGTGGTTGCGTCTGCGACTCGATCAAGTTAATTCAATTAATCGATCCGCGGCGCACCGTTGAAGCGTCGAGCTCGCTAATTTCGCTGATGCGATCAGTCGGCTATAATTTTCTGTTATGTATCTTGACAATTAAGCCACAAATAAAATTTCCATTTCGTGAAAAGATAAAAGTTCATTATAAAACAAGATTTTATTACGTTTATCTACATTCTCGAATTAATTTGATAAATTTTTTAATTCTGAATATTAAATAGTCTTGTTTTTCTTAGAAAGGAAGAATTAATGTGTATGAAAAATGATTTTAATTAGCGCAATAAAAATTTTGTTGAGTTTAATAAGCATCAAGGCCGTATCACTATATCTTGTTTCCTTAATGAAGTCGTCTGATTTAATTATTGCGGCGAAGAATAGTGATTCTCTATTCGAAATTAGCATATTATGCAACACGTGCAAGGCCAAAATCTGCTACCGATTCCGCGATCCGATCTTCGCGAACACCAGTAATTAGACATGTCTACGAAAGGCGACGTGCAACGCACGACTGGTGTCAATTAGCGGTGGTAACGACGTGAGCGGTTAACTAATTATATACGCGGTATACTACACTCTTATGTCCGCGGAACGATCAAGCTGTATGATCGAAACAAAGCTGAGATCGAAACAAAGATCTTAATTAATCATACGTTTTTTCAGCCTTTCGTGACATGACTACTGTATTGTTACATCAGTGCCTTATAATTGAAGTTATTCTTCCCTTTAAGTTTAATAAATTCAAAATCATATAAAAACTTTAGTTAGATACAGATTTGAAAGCAATTTTATTGAATTATCAAAATAATTGTGTATATAATGAAATTCAAACTAATTACTAGAAAATCAAAAATTTTTTTTTTTGGTATTGTTCATCATACTTGAATATCATACATAATTATTTTGATGATCCGAGAAAATTATTTTTAGATCTAGTAGTAGTGTAGGAAAATAAAGAAAAGCGGGACATTTAAGAGGATGTTGGCGTCGCGTTTGTTTTACCGATAAAAATATCATTTTTGTTTTATATATTAATTAC